CTGACATCTTTCCTGTGTAGGCGGGTCCTCTGGATGCCAGGAGTGGGTTCCGGGAGATTTAGGGAGAGGGCGATGGGCAGGGGAGGGGGTCCCAGAAGGACCCAAGCTCACCTGAAGCTGGGCACGCTGGAGGGTGGGGTGTAGAAGGACTGATGTCTTTCCTGTGTGGGCGGGTCCTCTGGATGGCAGGAGCTGGCCCTGGGAGATTGAGGGACTGGGTGATGGGCAGGGGAGGAGTCCTAGCGTGACAGTTTCTTGACCTTGAAGCATACTTGTGCTGGACAGGAGCACCTACAGTTGGTTGTGTGGCATATCAAGCAGCTCCATCTTTCCTGGGGAATGATGTATTCATTAGCAGATAATTCATCCACACCAGAATCCCAATGATTGGGTTCATTTTCTAGGCCCATTCCAGGTATGAGATCAGGCAGCACCCTGACCTAGAAAACGTAGGCCTTTTTAAGAACTGTTTAGTTGAAGCAGGATGTTTCAGAAGTGTGGGGAGGGCTAAAGGAAACGGAGGCAGAAGAAGCCAGGATTTACTACGATTCAAAGTGTTAAGGGGGAACAGACTCCTCAGTGTGCTGCTGTGGAGATGGAGACATAAGATCCTCAGTTGATGAGGATCTGTTCACCCACAGCGAACCAGGCTCCTGGAGAACTGAGAAGTCCCCTCCATCACACAGCTCCAGCATGCTTTCTGTTGTCTTCTCCTGTCTGTCACAGCTGGAGACCGGACACAGGAACAGCAGGGGCAGCTGGCCAGCAACAAGGAGCAAGTTGTGGTAAAAGAAAGGAAAAGCAGGTGCCCCATGTGCTTATGTATGAGAAATTCCAGGAAAAAACAGCTTCACTTATGTACCTGGTAAACGGGATTTTAAACGAAGTATTGTTGCTGAGTACAAGTTCAAGGCCTTCAACCAGATTGATGACTCATGGTGATGAACACTTGCAAATGAAGATGAAAGGAATAAAGGGTGAAATGTGTGTGTGACTCACTGGACACTTCCACAGTGAATTTTTCTTTTCTTTTCTTTCCTTCCTTCCTTCTTTCTTTCCTTCTTTCTTTCTGCCTTTCTTTCTTCCTTTTTCTTTCTTGTTCTGCTTTGTTTGGCTTGGATTTTGGCTTTTCTTTTGCATTTTATCTTGCTTTGGGGGTTTGGAGGTTGCAAGGGTGGAGGGTAGATTCTGGGGCAGGGGAGAAAGATGGGACTGGGATGCATGATGTAAAAACCACAAAGAATAAACAAAAGTTAATAAGATACAAAACAAGCCAGGCAGTGGTGGTGCACGTCTTTAATCCCAGCACTGGGGAGGCAGAGGCAGGTGGATCTCAGTGAGTTCCAGGCCAGCCTGGTCTACAAGGTGAGTTTCAGGATAGCCAGGAGTGTTATACTGAGAAACCCTGTCTTGAAAAGCCAAAGAAATACTCTTCCAAATTACAACTGTAATAAAGCAAGGTCTTTCTATTTTACTTCTCTTTTTTGAACAATATTTCTATTTATGATAAAAATACAGAAATGGCCTGACAGTGGTAGCAAATGACTGGAGTCTTAAGATTTCAAGTCATTTTGAACAGATTTGTTGCCTTGTATCAAACATTTAACAGATACTACATATCTTGATTATATTATAATCAGACTTCATTACTCGTGGTAGAAGGGCAAATGAGTCTGTATGATCTTTGATTTGATGGTAGGTATGATGAGAACATTTGTAGTAAAAAATATTAAATACACTTAAGTCTGTATGTATTTCTATAACTATCCCACCAGCTAATTGATTACTTAATCATATGTCTTTTTACTGAAGTTTTTCTTGCTCAAAGAGTTAGAATAATTTTCTGATTATCTCATAGATCACAATGCCTCAGGTTCTTGGCTCTCTGCAGTATTCTGATAATTCTATTGCTTATTTTCTGAGTGAAAAGATATCATTGCTACAAGCTCAGAAAAGGTCTCGATGCATCATAGAAAACCTGAGACAGCTGGTTGTCCAGTCATGAAAAGATGCCCTACCTATAAATGATACCAGATTTTTGATATCAAAGTGACTCTACAAATAGCCTTCCTGACAGGTATCCCCCTCACTGCTTTTGCTTTCTTTATGAGATGAGTGCATATTAAGTTTATATGTCAGTGGAGAGAACTGTTTTATTACCTCAGGATGAACCCCTTTGTCAGCATGACTCTGACTTAGCAGTGAAGTGAAAATTTAATTTTAAAGACCTGTCAGAAATCCACATCTACTGCTCATGAAATATATGATCACATTTTGTCATGATCAAGTGTGATGAGCCTTTGAGAGTGCGCACGTTGGTGATACAGGTGCCCAGGGACACTGAAACAACAGTTAACGACCATCAAGCAAATAAATCACAAGCACAAGCACTTTATATTTAATTAAAATGCACATTCATCCATCCTCATATGTACACAAATGACAAATCATCAACTTAGCCACTCATAATTTCTGAGAAAAAAGGGAGAAAGGGAGACAGAAAAACTCTGTATGCCTTTTGAAATAAAATATGTAGCTAAGTTCTTTAAAAGCTAGTGACTGAAAGGAAAGGGATGACTCATAGGGTTGCTTCCCAGCTGCAGGGCTGAGACAGAAACAGGCAATTCCTCATCATTACATGTGCATCTGTTATTCTTTCACATTAAAATTAATCCTCTGACTATGTTATATCATTATACTATGCTGTTTCTACCTCCCTGCTTTAAGTCTGCTTGTGCCGGTTGCTTCTCTTTGGGGAATATTATTGTTACTATTTTGCCCACTTTCCTTAACAAGGATTTCAGAGTTGTATTTCATTCAACCTGTCCATCACACCGAAATTCTGTCACCTCTAAATCCTATGGATTCTACATGGATCCCACTGTTACAACCTCGTTTCAGGCCCTAATCACCTCTGCCCTACACTCTTGCCTAGCTTTCCATAACCCATCTTTTCCCCATCAATCAAACCACCAACATTCTTACTGAAAACATCTGTCTTGTCTTCATTCTTTTCATAAAATAGAGCACATCTCCTTGGTATCATTTTGTTGTTCTCCCTTTGAAGCCACGAGTTGTACTCAAGCCTGATGACCTGCTAAGCAGCTGCTCTAAGACTGAACTGCTCACATGTTTTATCTTACCACTGCCTTTCTTTTCTCAACCCCGTCTGTCCTCAATGCTCCAATTACCAGACATAATGACTTTCCCTGCGCTGGAACTGTCTGAGCTCTATCAACCCTAGATGTGCAGGTATTTTTACAATCAGCTCGTCACATATTTCCTTATACGCACTGTTTGAAATTATTGGCATTTTAAATTAATCTTTAGATTGTAAAGGTAATGGGTTTCTTCATGGCATCTTTATGTACACATCACATGTTGCTATTCAGTGTGATCCCTATTCCTATTCACCTCCGTGAATTTCTGAAGCCTTCCTCTCTTCTCTCCATAGAATGAGTTCATATTTGTTTTTATTCTGACTTGTTTCTTCCCTGGATCACAAGTAGGTGGCTTTAAACCCTACATCATGAATGAAAGTTAGTCTTTGATATTCTTGCCACGTGAAACTTTATTCAGAGTTATAGTACTCAGTTCTCATTACCTTTGTTTATATCTTAGACTAGTGATCATTTCTTCTCTGTTTTGAATAAAGACAAATGTCCTTCTAGAAACAAGGGGAAACATAGTAATAGAGTGATGCTGTAATGATAAACGACACACTTACTGAAAGTAAAACTAAGTATTTATTGTAGAAATTACTCACAAGATACCAAACAAGTAACCCAGATGAGCCGAGTAGTATTCTGCCGCCAAACTGAAAGCCGAAAGCCGGAAAAAGAGACCAAGACTTCCCTTGTTCAGTCTTTTATACTTTCCCCCCCGTAACGCCCCTAGCCATGCCCAAAAGTGGGCCTGGCTAGTAACACAGTTCACCGCCTGTGTCTGTATAAGTCATTATGTCCGTATACGTCTTTAGTCATGCCTAAAGTGGGTGTGGTTAGCAGTGTGGTAAACCGCTCTTTTATTACCTCATCTGTATGAGCCTCTAGTAAGTCACATGGTTAATTGTGGCATTGTTTTCCTCCTACAATAGAGCATGCAACTAAGTGAAAAAACTGTGTCTGTGGGTGTGCCTGGGAGTCAGGCTTGGGTTTTCTGTAAACTGTGAAGTCAACTGTAGTCTCTAGGGTTATCTACCTTTATAACCCAATTCTAAAATTTGTAATTACTTGACTTGAACACATTACTTGAAGTACCAATGCCTCATTTTTTTTTCAGTTGAGGACCACATAATATATTGGAAATATCTCCTATGTGTGAGGTCCTACTCTAAGTGATGTGTTTAGACTCATAAAGATGACAGACAAATTTTATGCATTTGGGAACTCTATATTTTTGTAGTTTTCTCAAAAATATGTGACTAGAATTGTGAATGTACTAAAAATGTTCTTAGCATAGTGCTTTCATATAAAATAGATACTATCACTAAGTTTTAGTGACACAATTTTAAAGTTGATATGCGTGGGTAGTGCAGCAATGATGCACTTTTTGATTTTAGTTTAATCCAACTGCTCCCATTTCTGAATATACTCACATCCTTAATGGGGTTTCTCTAACCACTAATCGTTACTTGATCATGGAGTTGTTGCTTTGGGTCTGAAATGATGAGTAGTTTTGTTCAGACAATGAGTGCTGTTACAAGTGAGTTTCCTTTGTGCTTATCCGTGTATCTGCTTTATTTTCTCTGGCTTTCTTATGGCTTCTGTGAGCCTCTGATTTCCCTTATGGAATGATTCTGATTCTATGCTTTGCTCTCTCCTTTACTTTCCATGTCTTGATTCTTATTCTACTTCTTCACCTGGTGTCATTCTTTTATCTGACGCTGCCTTCTACTGGCTAACACTATGAGTTTTATTCTTGCTTTGATTTTAAAATATATTGTTAAGGTTGTTTAATTATTTTGGGGGATTAGAACATTGAATAACCACACAGATGACCACTGGATAAATTAGTCTATTAAACTGGTCATTATCCTGATATCACATGGTGAGATGTATATTCTAATGCTATGTGTTCCTTAGTTTTAATAGTAAACTAAATAAAGATGCATTAAACATTATACACATAACAACATTATTAATCCTGTGTCTCTTTTTAAAATAAAAGGGGTACAAAGAGGACAGACAATTTCCCGGAGTGTTACAATTCTTAAGGTACAGAAGAGACCTTTGAGTTCATACTGTCTGGCTTTATAGTCCTTGTTGTAAAGTCTTAGGAATTGCTGATTCTCACTTGAAATTAGGATGACATAATAGCCTTACAGTGTAGACTTTACATCTAGTTTGAGCAGGTGCCATGCTGAGAGTTTAATGATGCTGTGATGTAGATTCATATCATTTGAAGTCATATGGCTTCCATTTCTAGTTTCTACAGGAACCATGAGATGCTCTTTGCGGAAGTATGTGCTGTCTTCATAGGAAAATGTTGACATACTCAAACTCTCCTTCAGAGCCTGAAATGGTAGCATGATTCTCTTTTACCATCTTTTCCTTTACTTTATTGATACAGTCAAAGGACATCCAGCTGGTCTATATTTCCCCACATTAATTCCAGTCTTACCAACTTGAGAGTTGAATAAAATCTCATAAATTGTGAGAAATGCACAAGAAAATTTATCTTTCTCACTCTGCACTCATCCTATCGATGGTTTTTTATCTAAGGACCCTTGCTACGGAGACTTGCTCCAGAACACAGACCCTCTCCTCTCCAACATATTTTCTCACTCACTCTTCTTTCATTTCTGTGTGTGTGCATTATTCAGACAAATTCTCTCCATATTCAAGTTATCCAGCGTTATAATTTAAGCACAAACCCCCAAACCCAAACCCAGCTCACATTTTTAGCATTTTTTCAGGGCGTATGGAGGTTAGGATTTGGGTGTTAGTTAGCAGAAGCAGTTCACTAAGGATGGACCGTCAAGACTACACAGGCTCCTGGTTCTTCCCTTGCTTTGACTCCTCACACACTGTGATGTCAGCCGACACTGACGCGCGCTCTCACTATGGGAATGGAACATTCCATTGTGCCTTCCTCAAGAATAGACTCAAGTCTTCCAAAACCAGAGTCAAATAAAATTCCCTGTCCTAAATTCTCTGTTTCAGATACTGTGGTCATAGTGATGAAAATTAATACACTCGGAGAGTGTTATTATTGTTGTTATTTTTTGCACTACCTCTACTGCATTTTGTAGGTGAACAATAACTAGTAAATGCAGGACTAGGCCACTTTTTATCAGGTAGTATTTTTCTTTCATTTGCTGTTTTTTTCCTTTTTCAGCTTCAAAATACTGCAAGATGTTCATTGTGAAGACTGAAATTACTAAGAAAATAATGGTGTAAGAAGAAACATTAGTATAGAAAATTTACAGAATATTCGTCAGAATACTGTTAGTGCAGAGACTGCAGAGTTTTAAAGATAGGAAAAGGAGGCAGCTTTCATGGTTATTTAGAAACTAAGTACATGAGCATCTTTGACAGCGCCCTAGAGGAAGTTCAGCAGAATTCACTTAAGATAGCATATCACAGACATAGGTCTCTCTGTGTACTGAAGAGTGGGAGGTAAAATGGCTTTCAATTCTAGAACTCGGAATGACACATGGAAGCAAATTAGAAATCTTAGACTATAAACCTCTCATGACAGAATTCGTCAGGAGGAAGTCCAGACATTCACGGTGGCCTCTCTCTTAGTCTCTCTCCAAACATCCATTATTCAAGTCACACACAGAGTGGCCTCCTTCACCTGCTGATACAATCTTCCCCGGCTTCCAGGCCAAGGCCTTGAGCTTGTGACTGTGGGAGCTGCCTGGTAACCAGCACCCAGTTGCTGGCAAGTAGCCATTCTCAGGGGTTCAGTTGACAGTTGTTTTAAACAGATTTTTTTAAATTTAACTTAGAAACTAGGTTACTTTCACATGTCAATCCCAGATCTTTCTACCTCCTCTCCTCCCCTACGGCCAACAATTCCCCCAAGCCCCCACCCCATCCCCCCTCTGCTCCCCAGGGAGGATGAGGACCTCCATGGGGGATCTCCAAAGTCTGTCATTTCATCCAGGGCAGGGCCTAGGGCATTCTCCATGTGTCCAGGCTGAGAGAGCATCCCTCCATGTGGAATGGGCTACTAGAGTCCATTCGTATGCCAGGGATAAATACTGATCTACTACCCGAAGCCCCATAGATTGCTGAGGCCTCCTCACTGACACCCACATTCAGGGGGTCTGGATCAGTCCCATGCTGGCCTCTCAGTCATCAGTCTGGCATCCAAGAGCTCCCACTTGTTCAGGTCGGCAGTTTCTGTGGGTTACACCTGCCCCGTCTTGACCCTGTTTCTCATCATTTCTCCTTCTCTGCAACTGGGCTCCAGGAGTTGGGTTTAATGTTTAGCTGTGGGTGTCTGCCTCTGCTTTTGTCAGCTACTGGATGAAGGCTCTAGGATAGCATATAAGGTAGTCATCAAACTCATTATCAGCGAGGGGCTTTTAAGGTGGCCTCTTCACTATTGCTTAGTTTGCCCCATTGGTGTCATCCTGGTAGATCTCTGGAAATCTCACTAGTGCCGAATCTCTCCTCAAACCTATAATGACTCCCTCTATTATGGTGTCTCTCATCCTGCTCTCCTCTATTCTTCCCCTGACACAACCTTCCTGCTCTCCCATGTCCTGCTCTCCCATCTTTTCTCCCCCTCTTTATCCCAGCTCCCTTTCCCCTCCCTCCAAGCTCCCAATCTGCTCAGGAGATCCTGTCCTATTCCTCTTCTCCAGGGAACCATGCATATCTCTCTTATGGTCCTCCCTATTTCCCAGACTCTCGTGGGATTCTAGGCTGTCAATTCCCTGATCCATGTCTAAAATCCATGTATGAGTCAGTACATACCATGTTTCTCTTTTTGTGACTTCGTTACCTCGCTCAGGATGGTTTCTTCTAGTGCCATCCATTTGCCTGTGAATTTCAAGATTCCATTGTTTTTTTCCGCTGAGTAGTACTCCATTGTGTAAATGTACCACATTTTCTCTGTCCACTCTTCAGTTGAGGGACATCTAGGTTGCTTCCAGGCTCTGGCTATTACAAATAATGCTGCAATGAACATAGCTGAACAGATGTTCTTATTGCATGAATGTGGGGAGTGAACAGCACTGATTTGTTCTCTGTGAGCTTTCTGGTCCTGTGAAGTCACCTTTAAGTAAAGGATATTTCAGTCAAACTTTAGAGTTTTCTTTGTCAGACAGTGATTCATTTAAATAACTTGAAGTTTAAATGACAGAAAATGACTATTATCTCATTTATTCATTTTTCCTAACCCTAGGAGTGATACACTGAACCTCATTTGTGCCCACATCCTCATGGCCATGGATCACCTCTGTTGAGCCATAGGAAATACTTGTTAGATCACCAGATATTTCGTATTTTATAATGAAGCAGAAGTTATTTTAATATGTATACCAAAAGGCAAAATTTGTTACCATCAAATCTTGAACTCAAAATAAATCTATCTGCTTGAATTCTTAGAAAAATACTCAATTATATTTATGTAACAACTATTTCTTTTTACTGTGAAGTATAAGCCAAGGTGATATTTCTTTTAAAAATTAGAGTATATGAAGCTTACATCCTAATATATTAAAAATTATCAGAGGTTAATGGTCCAAAATTCATAAAAGTGAAATTCAAATGCATAGTTTTAATACGTGGGTCACATTATATTAAGTTTATTAACATAAGCCATAAGTTTATAATATTAAGTTATAAATATATTGATTAACTGACAACTTTTATTTGAATCATAGTTATAATTGTAGGTCATGAGGTCCAAATACAAATAATCTAATCAATGTAAGGAGTTTATTTATATGGAAAAAACAACACAGGGCTAACAGTGGGAAATTACTAATAGAAGATTCATTCACCTCCTTTTTACAATAGGTATATTAACATTTATGTGTAAAAAAACAGATCAAAGGCATAAAGAGATACAAATACAACAACAGAGGAAATCTCCAGAAACAAATCAACAAATAAAGTAATTATTTATATCTACATAAACAAGCATCACAAAGCTTATTATGACACAACATGGGTAGTCTCGGAAAGAAAGCATTACAAAATCCCATAATTGAGAGGACAGAGAAATCCCTGGGCCAGTGGCCGTGAGGAAATCAAGGAGTGTTATCTGCTGGAAAGGTACCGGGTAAAACGGTGCTAGACTGAATAGGAGGAAAAATAAATGATGGCGGCAATCCACCCCTTCTAAATCAACTGTGTACGTCCCGGCGATGAGAGGAGGGGTTCCTGCACTCAGAATAGGCCCTCTGTGCTGACAGATGAACAGATTTCTCACGGGCGTGAGACTTTATCTTGGAGAAGGACGATGAAGAATTTCACAGAGCTGAGTCACTGGATGGAAAGACAGACCAGCGCCCCGCCTCTCCCTGTGCCAGTCACAAGGCGCTGTGGAACGGCGTTCTGGTTCATGTCCTTTCTATTATGATAACTGGGAAAATAAGCAGTTCATTACATAGTCCACTCACTTGTAAAATTCACAGTCAGATCTACTGATTAAATCACAGCAAAGAGTGTTGCTCTCATTCTGGTCTCTGCTCTCTCTCAGTTGTATTTGTGTTTCAAAATCAAACAGTCTGTAAATGGGGGGAAGCGGGTGGCTTATTTATTGGAGGCCTTGAATATCTATTTTTAAGACATTGAAAAGCAAAAAATTTCAAAGGAAAGAAAAGTGCCCCAGAGGCTTCCTCTTACCGCTCTCTGTTAACCACCATCATCCTGAATAACAACACAGCCATGTAGGCTGTTCTGTGCTAAGGTATCTTTAGAATCTGCTTCTAATTTTTATCTCAAAAGTGTGTAACAGACTTGGACTAAACTCTGGATTCTCTCTTCTCTTCCAGGGCTATAAACGGAAACACTGACTAAAACTGCATTATTGCTGTATCTGGTGAAAGTTCACAGGCAAGGTTGTCTAAACAAGATGCTTAGCCCTGAGAAGGAAGGACACGTTTTATTCAGCTTCTCATGAAAAGGAGTCTAACTGGGGGCTATGCAGATTAGATTGCGTTTTAATTTTCTTTTTAACTTGGATCAAATCTCTGAACCCTGTTAAAACAATATCTTCATTTATAAAATGGGTGGCAAACGTTCTATCTCTTGCGATTTCTAAAATACAGCTATATTATGGGATCTTGCTCATTGTAAGTTATAGCTAACCACTGAACATAAATGCACTCACTAATTTAGTTAGGGTTTCTATTGCTGTGACTAAACACCGTGACAAAAATACAGGTTCGGGAGGAAAGGGTTTATTTGGCTTATAGCCCCACATTGCTGTTAATCAGCCAGGACAAGAACTCAGACTGTGCAGGGACCTGGAGGCAGGAGCTGATGCAGAGGCCATGGGAGAATGCTGCTAACTTGCTTGCTTTCCCTGGCTTGCTCAACCTGCTTTCTCGTAGAAACCAGGACCACTGTGAGTCCAGGGATAGGCCCACCCACAATGGGCTCGGCCCTTCCCATCCATCACCAGCTAAGAAAATGCCTGATGGCTGGATCTCAATTGAGCTTCCCTCCTTTCAGATAACTCCAGCTTGTGTCAATTTGACATAGGCCAGCCAGCACACTCATCCTTCATGGAACCCCCCTTTACTGCACAGAAGACTGCATCTACCAAAGCTTGTAGGATAATTGAATTACTCAGCATCCAGTTTTTAAACTGACTGCTACTATGGAAACAAATGGTTACTATATTTGATGTTTCAGGTCCTCTGTCTCTTTAAGGGGTTAAAGAACACTGGTGATTTTAATAAAGGCTCTATGGGAAGAACGAAGTTACTATGTTGGGAATAATAAAGGACAGAAAAGAAAACAAAAAACAAAGCATTTCCTTTTAGACTGAATATCACATTGAAAAAAATGTAGCTCCCTGCCTGCCCTGGAACCAAGGGATGATACAGGAAGGCAAAGCAAGGTCTTTTCCCAAAAGATGCCATCAGTTAAGCTCAGTGCAGAAAAGAAGGACAGACTCCTGCAGGTGTGTTCACATTCTTATGGTACTGACAATGGTCACACTGGACTAGAGTTAAGATGGGGTCAGTGTTAGAGCATATTTCTACAGTGACTATAAACACCCCACCTAAATGGTGGTATTATTTTGGGCATTACCATTTTACAGTATGCTTCATGAAGAAAGTTAAATTCACAACATGGAGGCTTACACAAATAAAATTCTAAGTCTATTTTTTATCAAGAAAGTTCAAAGATGAAGAGTATGAACTCGGGAATTGCCCTTGCTATGCCTCTGAAGTCCAGCCTAAAGACCATGGGAAGAACTCTAATGTTTAATGATTTTCTGAGAAAGAACTATGATTTTTAATAATAGAAGGGAAAATAGAGATTTTCTTTCATCCTTGGTGAATGTAGCTAGCAGATGGAGAGGCAAGGTATAATGTGAGAAGTAGGGACTATGTATGTCTTTGAATATTATTTCTGAGTAGGGCTGAAAAGAAAATGCAAGGCGAGTGTGGGTAATTTTTCAAGGTTGCATTGGCAGAAGAAACCTTGAAGAATGTTGTAATGGATCTCTTTTGTACAAGCGTAGGGCTTGATACAGAAGCTTCAGATTCTCAAAAGTGATATTTTTAGTTGTGAATCCATCCCACTGTGTGCAATGTCCATGTGGCCTTTTTGCATCATTTCCATGGAACCTGAGTGATGGAGGTGAGGGTAACTAGTAGCAACATTACACTCATAATACTTCTTTCATCTAATCCAGGATCATTGAGTATTCTACTGGCATCTGTGGTGGGAACAAGCTATTCTAATAATTTGTAAATAGTGGGAAATCCTACACATGAAACTCTCTCCTCTTCTCCATTAAAGACCCAGATTATGGAAATGTGGACTGGTTATAATGACTGTCAAAAGGACTTGTCTAGAATCATCTAGGAGACAAGTCCCCAGGCATATTTCTGAAGGTGCTTCTAGAATGGATTAATTGGGGTGGTAAGAGCCAGCCTCAGCATGTGTGACATCTTCGATGAGTTTGGAGTTTAGATGAAGTACAGAGAAGAACATGAACAGGGAACTACCATTTATTTCTCCCTGCTTTGTGTGAGCACGATGTGATCAGCTGTTTTCCAGCTCCTGCAACCATAGCCCAATTAGACACTTTAACCCCAAACTGTGAGCCACAATAAACATTTCCTTCTTTCAATTACAGAAAAGAAGAATAAGTACACACAGGAAATTAGAAAAACTATGGCTGGAAGAGCCTGCAACTTGTAGAGAACAGTTGTAAGTGACTTCCCAAGAAATTATACCCACTTTTGAGCTGGGTGGATAATTAAAGGCATTTGCAACCAAACCCTATGATCCAATTTCAGTCCCTGGACCTTGGTAGAAGGAGAAAACAAACTCCTGCAACTTGTCCTCTGACCTCCTTATGTATGCTATGGCACACACGCACACACATGCACATTCACTGCACACACACACACACACACACACACGTAAGTAAATATGTATAAATTGTAGAAGAAACTGTCTTTAATATTAATTGGGACTATGTATAATTAAAGAAACCTAATACCACAAAAGGAGGACAAACACATAGGGGTTAGAATGATAATCAACTTAAAAATTCAAAAGAAGCTCCATGAGTTGAAGGAAAATTATCAGAAGTCATTGCACTCTCTGTGGAAAGTAGAGGAAGGCATAGGACAAGAGGCAGTTAACTGCAGACTCAAAACACTACTTCAAGTAAAATGTGTAATCTGAACAAAATGTGTAGTCTGAGCACTGAGTCAGGCATACAGTCAGGTTACTGAGCAACTCATCATCAGTGATTTGGAAGGTTAAGTAACCATTTTTCTTGAGAAAATAAAAAGTTGTGATGTGATGGCACCCTAATTAAGAAGAAGATTCCGAA